AAGACAGAAAATAGAACAGGGTTGCCAGGGGCTGAGGAAGGGGGAGTAAGGAGTTATTGTTTAATGGATATAGAGTTTCAGGTGGGAAAGATGAAAAAGGTCTGGAGGCTTTGCATGGTGGCTCATGCCTGTAATCCCAGCACTCTGAGAGGCAGAGGCAGAAGGATCACTTGAGGTCAGGAGTTCAAGACTAGGCTGAGCAAGAGTGAGAACCTGACGCCACAAAAAATAAAAAAATTTGGCCAGGTGTGGTGGCTCACGCCTATAATCCTAGCACTCTAGAAGGTTGAGGTGGGAGGGTTGATTGCTTGAGGTCAGGAGTTTGAGACTAGCCTGAGCAAGAACAAGACCCAGACTCCACTAAAAATAGAAAAAATTAGCTGGGCGCGTGATGGCAAACGCCTGTAGTCCCAGCTACTTGGGAGGCTGCGGCAGGAGGATCTTTTGAGCCCAAGAGATGGAGGTTGCAGTGAGCTATGATGACAACACTGTACTCTAGTGTGAGTGAGAAAGAGACTGTATCTCAAAAAAAAAAAAAGGCCTGGAGGTGATGGTGCTGTTGGTTGCATAGCAGTGTGCTCGTACTTACTGCCACTGAACTTAAAATGGCTTAAAAATTACTAAATGGTAAATTTTATGTCACGTATATTTTACCAAAATTTTTAAAAAGTGAATATAGTATATAAAAATAATACAAAGGCAAAGAAAATAACTTCATAGACATGCACTATGTTGCTCAAAGTATTTCAGACTCCACAATGTAATAGCTCTAGAAGGGGCTTTTGAAAGTGTCTGGTTCAGTGCTCTTATTTAAACATGAGGAAACTGAGCTCAGGGCAGGGAAGCAACTGTTTGTGACCACAGAGACCATTAACAACAGCATGGGGACTGGACCCCCTTTCTCTGGTCTCCTTTTCCCCATACCACACTGCTGCTTTCTCTATAGTAAGTCTGGGCGAATGGATTCCATTTCTACTGTGTGCTCGTTCATAAGACAACCACAGCCATAAGACTAATTAATGACCCTGCAAATCCCACAAGATTCTCTGAAAATTACAAACTGGCAAGAAGCATTACAAATGCCGGTATGGTTCAATTCCTTGTGCCCTTGCAATTGCTCAAGAGCACTCTGGGGCCCAAAGATAAATAACTCGCTTTATATAGTAATCAGGGACAGAAGAAAGAGCAGGAAAATGTCTCCTTCCCCATTTTCAGCATAAGCATTAAAGCATAACCTAAATTTAGGATCTAGCACCTATGTGGCAAAGCAGACACAGGTGAGATTAGGCTAAATTTTAGCTTTGAATTTCACAGCTTTTGTTAAAGCTTGGATTACAGCCACTCCATGACTTGAGACAAAAATCTGTTTCAGTCTGAACTTCTCTTTGTTAACTTCTTGGTTCTGATGGCTCTGCTGTCTGAGTGAACATGCCTGCAGCTACATGTTTGGGTTTCAAGGCCTATATACTCAGGGCAAGCATGGACCCAGCTAAACCTGAACTTCACGTGAGAATCCTTTAAGGGCCACACTGCCCTGTAGTTTCTACCCTTTCCACGCCCTCTCCGGGCTAGGCCTGTAGCAATCCACACTCCCAACTCATATTTGCCTGGGGTCTGATTGAGTAAAACTCTAGTTCCAGCAGATGCTTTTCTTATCCACATCCCAAAGTGGGAGTTAACACTGGTCAAATTGATATTTCTATGAAGTTATTGGTTTGGGGTGGGTCTGAGCTGATTAGTCTAATATTCTTTTAAAGAAGAGAGAATCTTAGGAAAATAGATATGACATTAGATTTATGTGACAAAATAAAAATGCCACGCTTATTAGATGCTCAATCAGTTAGCAAGGCCTGGGCAAAGCTGCAGAGTCATGAAAACATGTTCCCAATGAGTCAACTTTGTGTTCCAGTGGCTTCATCCAGTCTGGAGCCAGAAACATAGTAACTAAGAACTCTGTAGCTTCTCCCAGATACACAGATCTTAATCATTCCACATCCTCTCTGATTACACACAACAATGAGGTGAACAGAATAAATTCCCAGTAAACATGTGCTAATGAAACAAGTTAGGGCATTATTCTGTTTCCAATGGAGGGAATTAGTTCTGTGCTTATGACATACAAGGGTCAAGAATTTCAAAACACTGAAATGCTACAGTCAGGCACAGTCAATGTTTGAATCCACACAATCGCCCAGGAAGTTCTGAGAACACTTTGACTCTAGCTAGAGCTGGGATTGGTCAAGCGTTCAGCCAGCGTGGCAAGCGCTGACGCGAGACGGTTTCTGGTGGCAGCTTGCGTGTAGGGGATTTTAGGAAGATGGGCAATAAAAAACAGAAGCCAAGTCATGTCCCTGGTCTTGAAAAAGCTTAGAATTGCTAAGAGCTGGATGTATTGAAGGGCTTCCGATGAGCCACACTGTGCAACGCATTTATGTGCATTGTCTGTTTAATTCTCACAAATGAGATTGTCCCCTTTCATAGGCAAGAACTAAAGACACAGCGAGGTTACAATTAAACTTGTCTAACAGGACAAGGTTTGCCAGGTTGCAGAGACAGGAAGTGCAGCTCTGTGATTCGACGCCCATGCCTTAATGCTCAGGACCATACTGCTTTTTTTTCGCAATTTAGGAAGCCTCGGCTTACAAGAAAAAAAGGGATTAAGAAAACACGAGTGCACTTTCTGATTCAAGAGAATTGGCTGATGCACAAGCTATATACAAACTGCGCCTTATGTAGTCTATGGGTTTACATCACGGATTCAATCAACCCCGATCAAAACTATGTGGAAAAATTGTGTCTGTACTGAACATGATTAGAGCTTTTTCTTTCTTTTCTTTTTATTTATTTTTATTTTATTTTTTTGGAGACAGAGTCTCAACTTTGTTGCCAGGCTTAGGTCGAGTGGCCGGTGGGGTGAAGCCGGCTCACGCACCTCAATCTCCCGGGCTCGGATCGCTACTGCCTCAGCCTCCCGAGTAGCTGGGACTACGAGGCATGCGCTCCACCATGGCCGGCTAATTTTTATTATATTTTGTTGGTCAATTAATTTATTTCATTTTTGGTAGAGACGGGGTTCACTGCTCGGCTGGTTTCGAACTCCTGACTTGAGAATCCGCCCGCCTTGGCCTCCGAAAGTGCTAGGCATTACAGGGTGGACCACACGCCGCGCTATCTTTTCTTTGTAAATCATGAAGGATAGAGGGTTGGTGAGGGGGTGATCGGGTTGCCATTGGTTGTTATTGTTGAGACAGAGTCTCTCTCTGTTGCCCTGGGTAGAGTGCAGTGGCGTCACTGTAGCTCACTGCAAACTCCAATTCCTGGGCTCAAGCTATCCCTTCTGCCTCAGCCTCCTGGGTAGCTGGGACTAAAGGCACCTGCCATAACGCCCAGCTGGGTTTTTTTTCCCCTTTCTTTTTGGTAGAGATGAGGTCTCGCTCTTGCTCTTGGTCAGGCTGGTCTCGAACTGCTGAGCTCAAGCGATCCTCCTGCCTTGGCCTCCCAGAATGCTGGGATTACAGGCGTAAGCCACAGTGCCTGGCCCAGACTTTTTTCTTATAATTATTTAACAATACAGTATAACAACTATTTATGTAGCATTTACATTGCATTAGGCATTATAAGTAACTTAGAGATGATTTAAAGTGTACGGGAGGGCGTGTGCAGGTTACATGCAAATACTACATACCATTTTATATCAGGGGATTGAGCATCTGTAGATTTTGGCATCCAGGGGGTCCTAGAACCTATTAACAGATGGGTACCAACGGATGACCATATATCCTACTTTGACTCTTCGTGAGAGACCCACGATGCGCTGTGGCACTCGCTAACTTGCCACCTTGCTGAGGCGTGACTCAGACCAGCACAGGAGGGGCTGCCGTGGGGGCAGGGCCCTGGGCTGGGAGAGAGCTGAGCCTCTACCAAGTTGCCTCATTTGGTGGCAGAGCAAGATTTGTGGATATATCTTGAATTATACAATCTTCTTACTTAAAAAATGTAGTTTGAGTTCTTTCAAATGTAAAAAAGTAACTGAAACATGTTTTCTAAGCATTGACAGACTGAAGTCTAGAGAGGATTTATTTTAATGAATATTTCAACAACCATTTTTGATGGGCATATGAACTGTCCACATCAAAGTGGGTGTTTTGAAAGAATTAGGGGCTAAATGTTATTGTTTCTTTCTTTTTAAAGTAGTTTAAATTGCTCTCTGGTTTCGAACTCCTGACCTTGAGCAAATCGCCCGCCTCGGCCTCCCAGAGTGCTAGGATTACAGGCATGAGCCACCACGCCAGGCCTAAACTGCTCTCTGAACTCATGCTGCTCAAATCTCAGATGGTACGAATAGATAGTAGCTGAAAAGAGACAACTTCGCTTCAGTGCTAAGGTGACACACGCTATGAGGAGATGTCCTGAAGCACAGAATTCCAGTGAACAGAGTGGGACTAATCCAGAAGGCTCCTTGGGTGAGGTGAACAGAGCTTGTCAATCCCCAGTACATAAGCCTTTCCTTGCTTGCTCTTAAGTGGTCTCTGCCCCAGTCATGGTGGGATCCAAGGTCATCAGAGCCTTTGCTGCCCTCTCTGCCTGGAACATTTCTTCTTGGTCCTCTTTTAAACTTTGGCTCTTGCAGAAGCCTTCTCTGATCATCCCCGTCTAAAACTGTGACTCCCTCACACACCTGAGACCTAGCTTTCCAAACTTCGGCCTGCTTATCTTGCCTACTCATTGATTTGTTAGCTTGTATAATATCTGTCTCTGCCTACTGGAGTATGAGCGTCATAAAGGAGAGACCTATTCTGTTGTGCTCACTGTGGCAGCCCCTGCAACCAGAACAACACATAGCACTTAGCAGGCGCTCAACCAAAATTATTAAAAATAACGGATGAATGAAGAAAGTTGCCAGGTCATCAGTATCATCCAGAGCAGATCTGTACTAGAAGGATGTGTTTGATCTATGACGAAAACTGTAAGGCCCAGGCTGTATGCTAATTTCATCTCACCTGTTCTGCTCCCACCATGCTAATTGGCTTGCACTTGAAGAGGTGAGTGATGAATTTGGGAATGAAGGAGCTGTGGATAAAAAAGAAGTGACAAATTAGGCTTTTTTCTCTTCTGTAAAGAACTACAGAAAATTTTTTTAAGGTCCCACTTATTTCCATTTGAAAACTGAGAATCAAGGTAGACACTATTGTCATCCACCAGCATCCATTGCCTTCTTTTTCCTTCCAACCGAAGCACTGGTTTTGTTTAGGCATACAAGCCTTGATATGCCAAGGAAAAGTTGATCCCATCCTGAATTACAGAGATAAACTCTAACTACTGTCAGCCAGCCAGAGCATGGCATTCCCTTGGTGACTGCTGTTGGTCCTGGGAGGGGGACATTATCTAAGCTGGCCCAATCAGACTAGAGGGGAGGACTTTCATTGTGAGGCTGGGGCATGACTCTCTTCTTTCTTAGGGCGTTGCTGCATTTGGATATAACATCAAGAGCTGCCATATGACCACCATTCTGAGGATAAAGCCAGCCCCAAAGATAGCAGGGTAAATAATCTGGGGCTCAATGACATGACTGAACCACCCAATCAACCATTCTCAGATCTGTCCTACCTCTGTATTTCCAGTTATATGAAATAAAAAATTAACATACCATTAAAGTTAGGGTTTCTATTGCTAGCAGCTAAAAACACCCAAACAGATGTAAGAACAGAATATACAGGAGGTAGGTATAGGGTCATAAATGCAAAAACAGGAAATAATTGCTAAGGGAGTAACTGTCAGATCAAGAAACAAAATACACGATCCTCTAAAAATTTACTGGGGACTGAAGGATAACCTGGACCACATGGGCTGATGACATTGGTCTAGGGGAAATTGGGTGAAATTGGAATAGGTCAGGAGGGCTTTTCAGAAAAAAAAAAATTCAAAAAATCGCAGAGGCCTGAGCTAAGACAGCAGGGTTGTGCTGGGGAAGAACATAGGCATAGCAACTGGGAACGCCTGTTATCAAGGCAGGATCCAGAGTGAGCTGACCAGGCGAGTCACGAGGGCCTACGACCCAGGGAGAGATGATGGAAATGAAGCAGGATTTGTAGGTTTAGATCCAGGCTGCCCAGCACCTCTCTCCTTACTCTTCAAATGCTGCTCCCAGGCTGGTAACCTCTATCTTCTTCAGTCTCTCAGTATCTTTTCCTGTACGCTTGTGCCCACTGTAATATCTAATGACTCACTGGACATCTTAATGGAATGGCTGCTAGCACCTGACTCCAGTACATCCAAGCTCAGCCCCACCTGGAATCCAGGTCAGAGGACTGGGTCTCATCTACACAGTCACTCGAGAAAGAAACTGGGATCTACCCAAGGCTACTCCCTCACCTTCAACCCCCAAATCCAATCAGTCACCAACTCTTTTCCTGAACCCCCACATCTACCCCACCTGCCTGTCCCCACTGCTACTGCCCTCATCACTTCTCCCGTGAACTCTTCCAAGCATTTCTTAACTGCTCTCCCTACCTTCAGCCTCACCCCTTCTAACTCAGCTGCTGCCAAAGGCGTTTATTTCAAATGCAAACCTGATCAAGTCCCTTCCCTGACTAGAATCCTTGCAATGGCTGCAGACAGTCATAAGGGGGCTTGATGGCCTCCTCGAGTCTCAACTTTCTGTCTTCAGCTTCATCACGCCATGCCTCGGCACCCTGTGCCTAAACCCGGCTGGGCTGCCTGCAAGACCCCAGGATTCTGCTGGCTACCTAATGCCTCTGTGCCTTTCCTTACACTGCTCCCTCGGCCTGTAGTGCCCTTTCCTAGGTCCCTGTGGGTCACACACACATCTCTCAGACCCTGTTCCTCTTCTAGGACGCCGTTCCTTAGCCACCTCCACCACACCCTACTTGGAGTCCACAGGCCTCTCCTAACATCTAACCTACTTTTTTTTTTGCACACGTGTCTATTTCTCTTCACTTGACTGTTAAGGCAAATGAAGGCCGGGCCATGTCTATTAAGCCAAAGCACTTAACTCCTGTGTGTGGGACACAGCAGGTGCTCAAGTGAATGACTGTTGAATAAATAATAAATGTTTTAATAATATGAATAGTAGCAGCTATCACTTTTTGAATGTCAGCTTGGTACCAGCACTTTACTCAGAAGTTTACGTGTCATTCTATACTCCCAACCACTATTCATAGATTTGTCTTAGAATCTCCATTATTGAATGGAAGAAAGCCAGCTTAGTGGACGAGGGAAGTTGTTGCAGTTCAAAGTTGCTGCAGTTTTGACCGGGGTGGATCTTGATGTCTCAATACGAAAGGCCGCTCTTGCTTCAGACACCGAATGGAGGCCAAAAGAAATATCTATGGCTGGGCAATGGTAGGGAAGGAAAGGAACTTCAGGTCCAGAGATCAGGTCTAGGGGGAAGGTCTGCTGATCAGAAGGAAATGCAAACAAGGGACTATTTGGAAGGGATTCTTCAGTGCTATAAACCAGGGCCATGCAAGTAGTGTGAGACTGAATTCATTACTAATTGCAGCTGCACACACAGTTCGCACCCTAAGCTACTTCACGCTGGAGTAAGCTTTGGTGTGCCCTTGAACTGGCTCTGAGTACTAGTTTGGGGGAAGGGGGAAGATACAGGGATCAGATACATGTCTTTGGGGGAGAAGTCCCCATGATGTGATGGCTAACTGCCAAGGGCTTCTCCAGGCCATGGAGGGGGAGGCGGTGGCTATTGCCCTTGGCTGGGGAAAGGACTCTTCACAACCCCCACCTCTGAGGTTTCTAGCCTTAGGCTGGGATTTCACAAGGATGAGAGGGCACCTATGGATTAAAACAGAAAACTACTTTCTAGATCACAGGCTGAGCTTTTCCAGATGTGAGAGATGGGCATCCTAGTCCCAGATCACTCAATATGGGCTTAGTAATAAAATTAAAGGGCCCTGAGGGCTCTGCAAGAATGTGAGGCTGATGCTGGGTCGAGCTAAGTCAGTGGGCTTCTTATTCACTGTAACGTAAGCTCAATCAGACCCTGTGCAACCACGCTGGAGATTTTCAGTTATAGTAAAGTTTTACAGAGACTCTACTTCCACCAGCCATTATGCAGAGTGTCACCATGTGACTTATCAGCAACGCTTTCAACACACTGTAATGAGCACCCAGAGAGCGAAGGGAGTTTCAACTCCTGGTCCATCTGTCGTACTGCAAACATTAACGCCTCCCTGGAGAGTCCACTCTATCCTTTCTTGACAATCTAGAAACTAAAGCGAACGTTAGAAGCCACTGCATAATTGTTGCTCTTTAGGGCTTTATTTGTGAGGGAAAGGGGAAGCCCTAATTGAATACAAACTGGGAGAGATCTGAGGAAGACAGAAACTTGGAGTCCTGAATCACCATTTGGGACCTGGATGAGAATAACCCAAATACAGTAGCTTGGACTGGGCTGACCTTCCTGAAGCCCTTCACTGAGCAGGTTGCCAAAATGCTCATTTGATAATTGGTCAGAGGAGACATTGACCCTCTACATCGCCTGGTCTCACGGGAACTGGTGCTACAGCCAGATGCTGACTGGCAAAAGATCAAAACTATTTCCTTGCTTCAAAACGCAAGCCAGACCCGGCCACACACGAGGATGTGGCAGGAAGGCATGCAGGCCAGCGTGCACTCCGTCTCCTGTGGGAGTGGCGCTCCCCGACTTGCTCAGCCCGAGTTCTAGTACCTTCCCTGGACCCGAGAATGTCCACAAGTGGATAAATTCTAGCAGCCACATAACATGTACTATGAGGAGGGAGGGAGAGAAGGCTCAGAAGAGACAGAACTGATGGTTCCTACCTTTAAAAAGCTTATAATCAAGTCAGAGACAACAAGCATATATAAAATCACTGAAGAATAATTCTAATTATCCAAACCTGGGCAAGAAGTGGTTAGGTCCACATAATTCAAAATGACAGGACTCCCCCCCAACTACTCGTACTTGACATGGCCGATGATTATATTGCTGTTACTGTTATCTACGACTTCAATGAGCAGATTTAGTTTTATTATTATACTTCTTTTGGGTACAAATTAAAATCAGTTTGCCTGCAGGCACCAGAATGAGCCCCAGCTGGAAGGTGGGGACATCTGAATTGTGAGCATGCTGCAGGGAAGGTATGGTATTAAAAATAACCCAGTTGAGTATGATATTAAAATGGTAGACACATGTCATTATACATCTGTCCAAACCCATAGACTGTATAATACCAAGCATGAGCCTTACTGTGAATGCTGACTCTGGGGGATTAATGAGGTATCAATGTACATTCATCAACTGTAACAAAAGTACCACTCTGGGGGAGGGTGCTGACAACGGTAAAACTGTGAGTGTGTGTGTGTGTGGGGGGGGGCAGGTGTATATGGGATATCTTTGTGCCTTCTGCTCAATTTGGCTGTGAACCTAAAACTACTCTAAAAAATAAAGTCTATTAAAAAAAAAAAAAAAAAAACCAACTCAGTGATGAGGAATGCTCCAGGACTTACTTTGCAAATTTAATGCAGAACTGAGTGAAGTATTTCCGTGTAGAAGCCAGGTTGTCACGGATGATGGGGACGTTCTGTTTAATGTGAAGAATGACAGAGGTAACGTAGGGGCTCTGGTCACCAACGTGCTCCACATTTTGCCACTGCATCTGAAATGGAAACAGGACAAGGCTTTGGAACTTTTGTGGGAGAACAGTGTCACCTGTTTTGGGGGAAGGGGCACCTGTTTTGGAGTGGGAATCAGGTCACAGCTTGGTATCACAGGAATTGGTTCCTTTTGTCTTGGGGAATTTGTCGTACTCATTCTGTAGTGGCTTACCGTGAATAAAAACCTTATTCTTGCCAGTGAAGTGTAACGTAGGCCCTTTCCTTTTCCTACCTGTTCCCATCATGCCTTCCTTTCCCAGCTAAGCTGCCATCTTGTAGGGGAACCCTTGCCCAAAAGATGAATAGGGATCCTATTCTTCTGTCAGCTGTTTCACTAGGAGAAGACTGCAGCAGAACAGAGGAGGGACGTCTACTTCCAAGCAGACGGGGAGCTTGGGAGATCCGAGAGGTGGCTGGGCTAAATGAAATGAAACCTGGAGGAGAATTAAAATATACCTTTCTCTCAAATAAATTAGGAGGAGTTTGGATTCTTTAAAAAGCAAAGTAGAAATGGTATGATGTGTGAGATTTGCTTCAAAATAAGCTAGGGTTGGGGGAGTGGAGGAAAGTGTCAGTGAAACAAGATCAATGAAGCTGGGTGACAGGTACATGGGGTTCATCATACTGTTTTCTCTACTTAGAATATATTTGAAATTTTCCATAATAAAACATTTAAAAAGGTGTGTATGTAGAATCTTACCCTCCTAAAACCTTTGGGATTATGTTAGGATTTCAATGAAGGGAAGCGAAAGGGGATCTCTGGCAAACTCTAGGGGCAGACCAGAGAGTAAGACAGTGACGTGGTGGCCAGGGCAGGAGAGAGGCACAGGGACTGTGCAGGTGACAGTCACAGGGGAAGACGGACATCACTGAGAGCACCAATGTGGTCCCTGACCAGGCAGGCTGTGAACAAAAAATCAGAGACCCCTTTAGCTCAAGCTCCAACACCCTGATGAAAACTGATGAGACATGCTCTGGAAAACATCTACAGGAAACTGGCTGGACTTCTTGGAATAAGTGGCACTTAGCAGTACTGGACCCTGCAGAACAGAAAGAAGCCACGCTGCAGTGTCTCTTTCCCTATGGGAACCCACAGGGGAACAGGGCCCGCACCAGCCCCAGCCTTCCCAGACTGGCGAGGGAGGGGCACTCTAACCCTGGGAAGGGCTGGCAGGTGCTGGAGGAGTTCTGCTGAGTCAGCCTCTCTGAGTGGTGCTGGCCGGTCTGTTAAAAAGATCCTGAGCCAAACACAAACCATATAATATGTTCACAGAAGGAGGTCAGTAGTTCTGAGGCCTTGATGTCTCTGGCAAGAAAACACTATTTTTACAGAGCTCTTGGGGAAAGGAAAAATCCAATACTGAGAGAACTTGTTTAAAAGAATCATATTGTACATGGATGATTCTCCAGCCCTGGGAAGCTCAGATGACTCCATGTTTTTGTCCTAATGTTTCTTCAAATCACCAGATATTTGTATTCTAAAAGCTTTAGGGATATGTAAGCACAGGACCACAGAAAAGCTCGAAGGGACCTTCATTTCATAGATAAGAAAACTGAGGTCCAGAGGCATTACGAGTCTCACGCAAGGCTTCAGTACCTGGCTGCAGATAGGAAAAGGTCTCTATTTTTTTACTGGGAAAAGATAGAAACAAACAATGGACAAACAGTAGAAAGGTTAACATGAACTGACTTTATATTCTAATGCTTCGGTTATGGGTAACACTTTCCTCATTATCTTTTATCTTATTTAATATGCTTCTTTTTCCATCTGATTTTAAAGACATGACCCAATCAAACATGAGCACCCTAGGTGATTTTAGTTATTTGTTTGTTTGACAGGGTCTTGCTCTGTCATCCAGGCTGGAATGCAGTGGTATGATCATAGCTCACTGTAACCTCAAGCTCCTGGGCTTGAGTGATCCTCCTGCTGTAGCCCGCTGAGAAGCTGGGACTACAGGTGGGCACCACCATAACGATAGGCAACTTTTAAATTTTTTATAGAGTCGGGGTCTTCCTACATTGTCCAGGCTGGTCTCACACTCTTGGCCTCAAGAGATCCTCCTTCCTTGGCTCCCCAAGTGCTGGGATTACAGGTGTGAGCCATTGTGCCTGGCCTTCCTTGGTGATTTTAAATGAGCTCATAGGGTGAGGCCAAAATTGACAGGTGCTTTCATTTCTCCAGCTCTGCAGTAAGACTTGGAGCAGAATGCTCTGGCTAAACACAGTGAACTGTGGAGGGCTTGATGTCTCCACTGCCAATCAACATTAAGCTTTTCCATAGTAATGACTACAGTTTTCCAAGTTAGCAGCATTGTATATTTCAAAATCTCAAAACAGTTTACAAGCAATTATCTAAACATCACAGTTCTCCATTAACAGAAGACCATAAAAGGAGGTGGTGACATGCTCTGTCGTTAGTTACAAAGCAACTCTGAAGCAAGACCGAGCACAGGACAAGGAGTATCTTCCAGCTTCTGCTGGTTAGTCTGTACAGACATCATCTCGTCCCTCGTGATAACCACTGGCCACGTCAGTATATGTCCATGTTTGAACAAGTTAAAAGAATATTAGCAAAGGCCAGGTGGATGATTTTAAATTTAAATCAACTTAATGAAGGCAGAAAATGGTTTAAAGTACTGGAAAACAACGAAAGTTGACATTGTTTCTACTATTTTTAAAAAAGTGTGCAAAATAGAGTTAGCAGTGACTCTGAACAGTCATTGATCACCTCAGGTGGCTGATGCTTGCCATTACCTATCCCAGATGATGGAAGGTCTGGGCTGTAACCTGAACAAGACACCTACGTTAGGACCTACCACGTGCAGGTCACCTTGCCTGGCCCTAAACATAGGCCATCTCATTTGCAATTCATACATGATCTCATTTAGTTCTCACAACAATCTTGTGGATGAGGAAACCCACGAAGCTCAAAGAGATTAGGTGACTTGCCCACAGTTACACAGCTGGTAAATGACACAGTTGGGACAGCCAGGTCTGTCTGAAATCTGAGCACTATACCAGGCTGCTTGCTAGACATTTGTCAAAAAGAAGAGAAAAGCACAAAAGTACTTAACTGGGCCTTAGTTCAAGGTGAGCCCTGTTTCTCAATGAGAAGCTAATGAAATATACAGTGATCAAGCACAGGTCTCTTTGGAAAAAGGAAACGGTAGCTTGCATTGGAAGAACAACATAATGAAAAGTCATCAGAAAAAATAAGACTTCAACATTTCCAGGTAGAGTTTGCATCTGACATTTAGAAGTCACCCATCTATACTGACAAGTTTTTCCTTCTGTGCTTTTTTTGGGGGGGTGATGGGGGTGGCGTTGAATACAAGACAGTGTGTAACCGGCACTATATAAATAATAAGAAACAGTTTGCAAAGGAGTAGTAACTAAGACGCAGGGTTGACAGAAAGAGCAAAGAAACGACAGTATGAAGACAGTAATTATCAGATCTTTGGGGACCCCACATTTACCTACAAGGAGAGACTTCGGGGCCCAGAACATCCCCCGTGCTCTGCTTATCTGCCTGAGGAGGGAGAGCATGGTCTGTGCTGACACTTCACGAGGAAGGCTGAGGGGAAACCACTCTTCCCAGAGAAAGCCCGCTGTCGCAGACAATTCCAACCAATTCGTTGATCACAGAACAGAACTCCACAACAATCTTGCTATGGAACTTGTTTTTTCCTATTGTTGGTTTTTTTTTTTTTGAATACAGTCTCACTTTTTGCCCGGGCTAGAGTGCCATGGCGTCAGCCTGGCTCACAGCAACCTCAAACTCCTGGGCTCAAGCAATCCTCCAAGTAGCTGGGACTACAGGCATGTGCCATCGTGCCCGGCTAATTTTTTCTATATATTTTTAGTTGGCCAATTAATTTCTTTTTGTATTTTAGTACAGAGGGGTCTCACTCTTGCTCAGGCTGGTTTTGAACTCCCGACTTGAGCGATCTGCCGCCTCCGCCTCCCAGAGTCCTAGGATTACAGGTGAGAGGCACCACGCTGGTCTTGTTTTTCCTATTGTTATAAGAAGTCTGGAAAGAGGTCTCTCGAGAAACTAATTTTTCTCAACAGAAAATTAAAATTCCAAGCTATTCATTTTGATCACTGGATTAGAAAGATGCATAGCATAGACTCAGACATTTAGACTCTGGACAGGCAACTGGAAATCTAGTGTTATGGCTTAGGCTGCTGTTGGCCCAAGCAATGGACTTTTCTCAGATGTGCATATAACAAACTGACTCTCTCACTCGTTCTAATGCTTGTCGGGGCTACTTTTACTCCTACAACGAACATCTGCCATATTTCCAGGTACCTTCTGCAAGCACAGCACTGGACAAGCATTGTGGTGGGAACAAAGAGGGAGAATGAACATTCAAAGGACTACTATGCACCCAGACACTGTGACTGACATTTTCACATGAACTTACTGCTTACAATGCTGTAGTGAAGGAGGTATTATTATTAATGTTCCTGCTTTACAGATGATGAGACAGGCTTTAAGACAGTGAGGGACCCACCTAAGGAAATGTAACTAGCAGGACTGAAATCTAACAATTGGTTTGTTTAACTCCAAAGTCCATGTTCTTTCCATTTAACCATGTTACTTTCCAAAGAAGAGTTACCATCGTAAATGAACTTGAATTAACTGGGGCAACTGGGACAAGCAAAGTCTTTGTCTAGAATGAGGTTATAGATATATGGATGACTTGGCAGTGGTGATGGTGCTGCAGAGGAGGAAGAAAAGCCTCCTCCACTTTTTTGCTCAGGGATACATGTTCCTTAACTCCAAGGGGAAATCAAGATGATCCAGAATAGAAAATAGAGTAACAAGGGGTTGAAGATACACACAACACACACACATATAGTAAATATAGATACATACATATTTATGTAACATATCTATATATATATATTATTTCCATTCACTGCTGAGCCAATGGGAAGGTGAATTCATATAACTGTTCTTAAACCATTTGAAAATATCTATCGAATATCTTGGCAT